TTCAGATTTTTTTTCCCACGTATGTTTTGGATTCTGAATATTGCAAACTAATGAAAACCCCCTGTGCATCTGTAGTAAATAAATCTTTGAATTGCTAATTGCTTCAGATTAACCCCATGGATCTTTAGCATCTGTCTGTGGCATTTTTCAGCCCACAAATTCCATCTGTTTCTTTCTGGGACTTTAATCGTAAAATATACACACATACATAAACCTCTGATTGCCTCGTGGATAGAACAATAAAAGCCTCTGCATATTCTGTAACCTCCATGGAGGAGGCAGGGGAGATCATCCTTTCTCTAATCCTCTCACCTGAAGGACTATGCTTTATGTCTCCGATTTGACCCTCCAGATTAACTCTCCTCTTCTCTCCACAATGTCCGTGCGCCGGGACACTGACCTATATGACCTGTATCTATGGGTTCCCAGGACCTCTGGCTTCTGGTGGAACTTGGTCAATGGGGGCACACTGGCAAGAGATGGGAGAGAGGGAGGAAGAGACTGGGGTCTCAGTGTGTATTTTCTTGGACTCCTCCTTGAAGAACAACATGGGTTGGCATGTCCCCTGACCAGTTCTCAGTTCTTCTCAACACTTCTGTCTCCAGGTCCAGTAACCCCCTCTCCCCAGTCCCCTTCAGACCTGGGCATGGTACTCCACACTGTCCTATGTGTTTTCCTTTCACCCTGCATGATTGTAAAATAGTCCCCTCTTTAAATTCTCCTCAAATTATTTGTTTGCCATTGGGACCTATTTGATGTAAAAATATCACCTCTGTGTAGGAGGGAGACTTCCAGGCCAGCAACAACCCACTGCTCTCTCAACTCAGTGGCTCTCCAAAGGACCCTTCAGTGACATACTTGTTCCTCCAATAGTGATGTCATGTATGGACGCTACCAGAATAGAAAGACTTGTGATCATACTGCTGAGGAAGTGTCTGTCTGGTCAGGGTTTCCAAGGGGAGTTTTGGGTCAGAACCTACGCCCTACCTCTTGATCTAATAAGGTAGAATGCTTAAGAGAGGGCAATGCCTCCTTTCTTCATCAGCTCCAGTTCTACCAACACGCCTGGAGAGAGCTTGGTGGTTCGTCTGCATTTAGATCCTGGTGCCAAGGTTCAGTGAAGACACGGGAGATTTCGCTGTAAACAGTCCAGCTACCATTACCCAAAAGAAGGCTATTGAAGGGTTAGAGCTCAGGCTTTGCTCCAGTAATTTTTTGAGGTCTGATTCTGGCATTAGTGAGCATTTCTGAGCCCTAGTTTGCTCCCCTAGTAAAATGATGATAATATAGATGTGGATTGTGTAGAATAATGTTTGTACAGTGCTTGACACATAGTAAGTGTCTATAAATGTTAGCCTCTTTGTTTGTAGTACACAATGTACCTTCTATGTGTAAAGCCTCTTTTGATCTTCAAGTAAAAGAAACTATCTCTTGAGAATTGGCACTGTGTTTTCCGTCTAAGTAGAGGGATAAATGTCTTTGTTTCTGTTTATAAAAATAATAGGTGATCATTGAAGGATGGTATAAAAATAAAAATCTTTTCTAATCTTACCAAGCAGGATAACTTCAGTTACATTGTGACTACATTACTATGCACATATATATTGATTTACACACATACACATTAACTTGTTTTTCTAAACTGAGGCCATACGATATAATTTTGTATCCTATACAGTAGCCACAGCAATGGTCTCAAACATACCAATGATCATGAATGTGGCATAGGACTGGGTAATGTTTCATTCTATTCCATGAATTGGAGCCAACTCAATGGCACCTAACAACAGCAACATATTTTAAATACATAGTGAACATAAAACTACCTTCTGAATATTCTCTTATTGATTTTTTTTTACTGTGGTAAAATATATATAACACAACATTTGCCAATTCAACATTTTTTCACATGTACAAGTTAGTGCTATCGATTACATTAATCATGTTGTGCAATTATCACTAATAAAACCTCGTTGCCATCATGTCAATTCCGACTCATAGTGACCCTATAGGACAGAATAGAACTGCCCCATAGGGTTTCCAAGGAGTAGCTGGTGAATTTGAACTGCTGACCTTTTGGTTAGCAGCCATAGCTCTTAACCCCTGCACCACCAGGGCTCCCGTCATCACTAATAATCATTGCCAAATTCTCCATCACCGTGAACAGAAACTCACTGCTTTCTAAACAGTGATTCCCCCTTTCTCCCATTAAAATATTTCCCCTTTTAAAATATTCTTTTAAAATATCATTTATGCACAGAGACATAATTTTAGAGAGAGATGTAAATGTGACTGTACAATATAGGCTTTTTTATTGGTTTGTGGTTCTTAATCTACCATCTGTTAAGATGCTGTTTCAGCCAGGTGGGTTTTTGTGCTATCTCATGTGTTCTGTTGACTTTTCAAGTCAGGCTCCAGCGTGATCATGTATTTTGCCTGCAGCACAGCCCTTCAGTGTCTGAGAGAGAAGGCACGTTATTGGTGGTGATTCGGACTTCCTTCCTTCTTCTCTGACAGTGATTTTCTATCTCTGAGGTCTACCCAAGAGCTAGTCACCAGGATTTTTCAATCTGGCCACCCACATCATAGATAGACAGATAGATGATAGATAGCTAGGTAGGTAAGTAGGTAGGTAGAGACGGGTAGATGGATGGCTGCTGTTGAGTTGACTCTGACTTTCAGCAGCCTTATGCACAACGAAACAAAACATTGCCTGGTCCTGTGTCATCCTCAGGATTACCAGCATGTTCAAGTCCATCACTGTGGCTATTGTGCAATACATCTATCTCACCAAAGGTCTCCCGTGCCGTCATTGGCCCTCTACTTCACCAAACATGATGTCCTTCTCTAGCAGTTGAGCCTTCCTGATGACACGTTCAAAGCAAGTGCATCAAACAATGTTCTGTTATGATCCATAAGATTTCCATTGGCTAAGTTTTGGAAATAGACCACCACGCCTTTCTTCCTAGTCTGTTTGAGTCTGGAAGCTCTGCTAAAATCTGTCCACCATGGATGACCCTGCTGGAGTTTGAAATACTTTTGGCATAGCTTCCCACATCATAGTAACACACAAGCCATCACAGTATGATGAATTGACAGTTGAATGGTAGACCCACACCATAGGTATAGTAATTCCTCCTGATTGTCAGAGCACTGAACAAGATGCTAAGTTTGTAATGGTTTGATAATTTTTCCATCCTTACCTATGTTTCATGAATATCTTAATGGGGAATTAATGGATGGTAAACCAGGCCCAGCAGTAGTAATCGAGGAGTTCCTCCCCTTCTCTCTTCATGAGTTTTTCCCATTCCTGTGTACTCATATTACATTTTTCCACTTTGAAGGACAAAAGAATTCTATGTCTGGATCAATCAAATCATGTGGTAAATATTCTATTCCTTGAAGATTCAAGGTTAGAAAGAGTTTGTCATGTATATTCCATATTCTTTGTAGTCTCTCTTCTCTTGGCCCTTTTTCAAGAAATTCCAAGACAATATCCCAAAAATTTTCCTTCCACCTGAAAATAGAGAAAGCAGGGCCTGGGAGGCAGAAGGAGGCTCAGCCATCACTGGCTGTGTAACTTTGGTTCCTTAATTACAAAAGAATGTATTTGGCCTGCATATCCTCCAATGTGCCTTCTAGTTCTAAAATGATGAAATTTCTCAGGGATTCAACTGTAATTATCCCCAGCAATACTCTTCACTTTGACTTATTTCTTTTTTTATCCTGAAGACCTCATCTTATAGGAACAAATAGTCGCTTTGCTTTATTAGTTCTGCATTCTACTTTGCTTCTATTCCTTAATTATTTTATGATCTTAAGAAAGTCATTTAGTTATCCTTTTTTTAAAAAAAACAAAAAAACAAAAAACCAAGTTTTGGCATAAAGAATGAGACTCCATCTCCTAGCATTGTAAGACAAGTTATGTTCTGGTTGAAGAAGGTGTCCATGGTCACATATATTTGTAAAGTACCTTAGACTATGTCCCCCTCATAGAGATTTGCAATGAAAGTTCACTTATTTAAAGGCCCTTAGAATTTCTGTAATAAAGAAGCTTGTTTAATTTTGTTTAACTCTTGATTTCCCGATTATATTTGATCTTGAAATCCTTTTGTTTTTGGTAACATCCATTAACATCCCTCATATCTCCAGTATGCATAGGAGAGATAGGTCTAGAAGGAAGCACACAGTTTGCACTTGCTTCTGCCCTTCACTGATTATGGTTGTGGGCTAGATATGTAACCCGTGTACCTCATGTATGGAGCCCTAGTTGCAGAGTGGTTAAGAGCTCAGCTGCTAACCAAAAGGTAGGCAGTTGGAATCCACCAGCCGCTCCTTGGAAACACTATGGGGCAGTTCCACTCTGTCCTGTAGTGTCTCTGTGAGTCAGAATCGACTCTACAGCAACGAGTTGGATACCTCATGGTCCTCATATGTAAAATGGAAATGCATAATACCACCCAGTTTAGGGTGGATGTAGAGATTTCAAGCAATATGTGACGACAACAATTACAACTAATATTATTCTAACTCTCGTGTCTTACAGTCTTTGTTCAAATTTTGGCCCCATCAGTTACTAGCTATGTGCCCTTAGGGGCGTTACTTAACTTCTGTACCTCAGATTCTCATGTATACAGTGAGGTTAAAAATCGTACCAATTTCACAGGTTGTTGAAAGAATTAAACCTGATTCATATAAAGTACTTAGAATTGTGCTCAGCACATGGTAGGTGCCTAATAAATTTACCCATTATTATCATCATCATTGGTGTTTCTGTTACTTCTACCATTATATCATGTGAAAGAATTATTTCTTTTAGTTCCTAAAAGCAACTCCCCTTACCCCCAAAAGCAGCTTGAATCCAGCATATTATCAAAATACTACTACACCTCTCCTAGAAATATTGGATTTTGCCCCGTTGACTTTGATGTTCTCTGCTTCTAGAGTCTGTGATCCTCATGTTTCCACACTATCATTTAACTTCTTCTATTTGTGAACAGGGGCGGAGAGGCCTCGGCTCCGTTTTTGTCTGGGCATCAGGAAATGGTGGAAGGAGCAAAGACCACTGCTCTTGTGATGGCTACACCAATAGCATCTACACCATCTCCATCAGCAGCACAGCTGAAAGCGGAAAGAAACCTTGGTACCTGGAAGAGTGTTCATCCACACTGGCCACAACCTACAGCAGTGGAGAGTCCTACGATAAGAAAATAGTATGTGATATTTCCATGTCTGTTGTGACGTATTTATTATCTTTTAATTTTGAAATGCAAAGTGAGAACGATATATATATGGAAATAGAAGGTGGCTGATTAGCTGATTACTCAGTGCACCTGGCTGAAATGTTTAACTCATTTCTGGTACCAAAGTCAATTGAAAACAGTTGTCCAGGTCATTGCATTCCAGCATTCATTGTGGCCCTGAACATGATCAAGCTTCATTTTTATTGAGGATGAAATGGTTGGTCTAAGTTCATGTTCTGAGTTAGTGGCAGAAGAGAGACTAGCACCCAGATCTGACTTTCTCAGCCCAGTCCTCAGAGCTTCCGTTTCTAAATACAGCTAACTGAGTGGGAAAAACAAAGGTACGATAAGGGTAGTGTTGTTGTTGTTAGGTGCTGTCGAGTCAATTCTGACTCACAGCAGCTCTATAGGACAGAGTAGAACTGCCCCATAGGGTTTCCAAGGAGCGGCTGGTAGATCTGAACTGCTGACCTTTTGGTTAGCAGCGGAGTTCTTAACCATTGTGCAACCAAGGCTCCCAAAGATAAGGGTACTTGAAATTATTACATTTAGACTGTTCATATTAAACATGAATAAAACTTATGCAAAAAGTAGTTTTCTAATACAGGAGCACAAAGTTTACCTGAACAAGAAGCACAGAAGTCCTGATTGATTCCTAACTTACCAGTATGCCCTGCTTTCTAGGCAAACAACAGAATGATTACAAGCTCAGGTTGCAGAACAAGCCTGCAATTTTCCTTTCACGATGGTGCTCTTTACTCACTGGGTAGCTCTGGGCAAATTACTTCGTCTTTGTGTCTCAGTGTTCTTGTAAAATGGAGACATTTAACAGTATGTAATTCAAGGCATTATTACAAAGATTACCAGGAAAAAAATTAAAAGTGCATAACACAGTGCCCGGCACAGTGGTGCTCAAAAAAGATCTGACTTTCGGGACACCCAGCACTACGCTGCAGAGTCTAAGTTTAGAGTCAGGATTTACCTTTCTAAAGTGGAGCTTAAACTGCTCTCCGTGATACTTTGTAGCATTTACCAGAGACCCTGCTTTTAGTTCTTGCAAATTCACACAGTTCAGTTCACTCTGCTAGTGCCACACCTGACCCTTCTTTGGTGGTGGAAATACAGATGACAGGACACTACTTCCTTTATGCAATTCTAACCCACATCCATTCTATTCTTCTCTACTGCTGGTTATTATGTCATTTTTATGTTTGATTTCTCAGCTACTCTTTACTACCTTCTTTAGTTACATATTATAGATTGATTTACAGTGAAAACTGCGTATTCATATAAATGTCCCATTTTCCCTTTTCTTTCCCTAATTCCTCCATGATAACAGGGTTAAAAAATGTACACGTGTACCTGCCATTAAGTACCTCTATTATTCATCAATAAGCATAGTTTTACACAAAGTAAAATACAAAAGGGGAAAATGCAGAGATCAGCAAGTTTTGAAATACTATGGCTCTCTTGGCAGGAAAATGATGCCGCTGTGATATTTTACCCTCATTATAGGACCGTTGGAGTGCTGGTGGTGCAGTGGTTAAGAGTTCGGCTTCTAACCAAAAGGTCGGCAATTCGAATCCACCAGCCATTCCTTGGAAACCCTATGGGGCAGTTCTACTCTGTCCTGTAGGGTCCCCGTGAGTCAGAATTGACTCAGTGGCAGTGGGTTTATGTTGTTGTTGTTAGGTGCTGTCAAGCTGGTTCTGACTCATAGCGACCCTATGCACCACAGAATGAAACCCTGCCCGGTCCTGCGCCATGCTCACAATCATTGTTATGCTTGAACTCATTGTTGCAGCCACTGTGTCAGTCCATCATGTTAAGGGTCTTCCTCTTTTCCATGACCCTGTACTTTACCAAGCATGATGTCCTTCTCCATGATCCTTCCTGACGACATGTCCAAAGTATGTAAGATGTAGTCTCGCTATCCTTGCTTCTAAGGAGCATTCTGGTTGTACTTCTTCCAAGACAGGTTTGTTTGTTCTTTGGGCAGTCCATGGTATATTCAATATTCTTCGCCCGCACCACAATTCAAAGGCGTCAATTCTTCTGCGGTCTTCCTTATTCATCGTCCAACTTTCGCATGCATATGATGGGACTGAAAATGCCATGGCTTGGGTCAGCTGCACTTTAGTCTTCAAGGTGACATCTTTGCTTTTCAACACTTTAAAGAGGTCTTTTGCAACAGATTTGCCCAATGCAGTGCGTCTTTTGATTTCTTGATTGCTGCTTCTGTGGGTATTGATTGTGGATCCAAGTAAAATGAAATCTTTGACAACTTCAGTCTTTTCTTCGTTTATCATGATGTTGCTTATTGGTCCTGTCGTGAAGATTTTTGTTTTCTATATGTTGAGGTGTAATCCGTACTGAAGGCTGTGGTCTTAGATCTTCATCAGTAAATGCTTCAAGTCCTCTTCACTTTCAGCAAGCAAGGTTGTGTCAATCTGCATTGTTAATGAGTTGTTAATGAGTCTTCCTCCAATCCTGATGTCCTGTTCTTCTTCATATAGTCCAGCATCTCAGATTCTTTGCTCAGCATACAGATTGAATAGGTGTGGTGAAAGGATACAACCCTGACACACACCTTACCTGATTTTAAACCACGCAGCATCCTCTTGTTCTGTCCGAACAACTGCCTCTTGATCTATGTACAGGTTCCTCATGAGCACAATTAAGTGTCTGGAATTCCCATTCTTCACAATGTTATCCATAATTTGTTATGATTCACACAGTCTAATGCCTTTGCATAGTCAATAAAACACAGGTAAACATCTTTCTGGTATTCTCTGTTTTCAACCAGGATCCATCTGACATCCACAATGATGTCCCTGGTTCCACGTCCTCTTCTGAATCTGACCTGCATTTCTGGAAGTTCTCTGTCGACATACGGCTGCAGTCACTTTTGAATGATCTTCAGCAAAATTTTACTTGCATGTGATATTAATGATATCGTTCGATAATTTCTGCATTCAGTTGGATCACCTTTCTTGGGAATAGGCATAAATATGGATCTCTTCCAGTCAGTTGGCCAGGTAGCTGTCTTCCAAATATCTTGGCATAAATGAGTGAGCACTTCCAGCACTGCATCTGTTTGTTGAAACATGTCAATTGATATTCCATCAATTCCTGGAGCTTTGTTTCTCACCAATGCTTTCAGTGCAGCTTGGACTTCTTCTTTCATTACCATCAGTTCCTGATCATATGCTACCGCTTGAAATGGTTAGACATCAACCAATTCTTCTTTGTATAATGACTCTGTGTATTCCTTCCATCTTCTTTTGGTGCTTTCTGTGTCGTTTAATATTTTCCTCATAGAATCCTTCACTATTGCAACTCAAGGCTTGAATTTCTTCTTCAGTTCTTTCAGCTTGAGAAATGCCGAGTGTGTTCTTCCCGTTTTGTTCTCTAACTCCAGCTCTTTGCACATGTCATTACAACACTTTACTTTGTTTTCTCAAGCTGCCGTTTGAAATCTTCTGTTCGTTTCTTTTACTTCATCATTTCTTCCTTTTGCTTTAACTACTCAACGCTCAAGAGCAAGTTTCAGAGTCTCTTCTGACATCCATTTTGGTCTTTTCTTTCTTTCCTGTCTTTTTAATGACCTCTTGCTTTCTTCATGTATGATGTCCTTGGTGTCATTCCACAACTCGTCTGGTCTTCGGTCATTAGTGTTCCATGCGTCAAATCTATTCTTGAGAGGGTCTCTAAATTCAGGTGGGATATACTCCAGGTTGTGCTTTGGCTCTCGTGGACTTGTTCTAATTTTCTTCAGTTTCAACTTGAACTTGCATATGAGCAATTGACAGTCTGTTCTGCAGTCAGCCCTGGTCTTGTTCTGACTGATGATATTGAGCTTTTCCATTGTCTCTTTCCAAAATGTAGTCGATTTGATTCCTGTGTATTTCATCTGGTGAAGTCCACATATTTAGTCTCTGTTTATGTTAGTTAAAAAAAGGTATTTGCAATGAAGAAGTCATTGGTCTTGCAAAATTCTATCATACAATCTCTGGCATCATTTCTATCACCGCGGCCAGATTTTCCAACCTCTGATCCTTCTTCTTTGTTTCCAACTTACACATTCCAATCACCAGTAATTATCAGTGCATCCTGATAGCATGTTCCATCAATTTCAGACTGCAGAAGCTGGTAAAAATCTTCAGCTTCTTCATCTTTGGCCTTAGTGGTTGGTTTGTGTGTTACATTTCATTTTTGATGATTTCCAATTTTCCTAGATTCATGCTTCATTCATTCCATGTTCTGATTATTAATGGATGTTCGCAGCTGTTTTGTCTAGTTTTGAGTCGTGCCACATCAGCAAATGAAGGTCCCAGAGCTTGGTTCCATCCAAGTCATTAAGATCGACTCAACTTTGAGGAGGCAACTCTTTCCCGGTCATATTTTGAGTGCCTTCCAACCTGGGAGGCTCGTCTTCCGGCACTATATCAGACAATGTTCTGCTGCTATTCATAAGGTTTTCACTTGCTAATTCTTTTCAAAAGTAGAATGCTGGGTCCTTCTTCCTAGTCTGTCTCAGCCTGGAAGCTCAGCTGAAACCTGTCCACCATGGGTGATGCTGCTGGTATCTGAATACCAGTGGCATAGCTTCCAGCATCACAGCAACACGCAAGCCCCCACAGTAAGACAAACTGATAGACACAGGTTTATAGGACCTGTATAATCGAGCAGTGTCCCCTGTGCTTTTTAATATGAAGACCTTGTCTCCCTATGACTAGTTCATGGTCAATGCCCTCTAGTACTGAGTGGCATCCGTCAGTTCTGCATCATGAAATTCCTGATGAAAGCTCTCTGGAATAAGAGTTCTCCTATTTGTACCTCTCAAGTCTCAATCTTTGAGGGCATCTTAAGGTAAACTCACCACTGCTTTAGAGTCAATATGTCTTTTTAGTCCTAGTATTTCCTGTAAAGCAATTGCTAGGGAGAGTCCATGTTGTTTTCCCAGGAAG